ATTGATAACGTGTGGATCTAATACCTGCCTTCATTTCACTGGCTGCTCTAACAGTTCAGGTCTGTGTGTTTTGGTAGAAGCAGCAAAGGAGAGGAGGCAAAAACTCAGGCCCACACAAGTCCTAGGACTCGAAGTTTATCAACTTACTACACTTCAACCTCACCACGCCGCTCTATTTTAGCATACATGAGCAAAACAGAAGCCACAAGTAGCCTTAACGACGAGTTCATTAACATGCATCCACTTCCATCACGGTGCGCCGTTCAGCCAAAGGAAAAGCAGCGCTGATGTCGGTAACCCGGCACGTCTTAAAGACACATTTCACATTTCAAAAATTCAGACAGTCTCAAAGTCCTTTAACACCATTTAATACATACCTGTAGAATGAAAATAATAATTATCAGTCCATTTCCACAGCTGTGTTCACCTAATAGGCCAATGATAATACTCTATATAAACAGCATTTTACCTTTGTGAGGGGAAAACAATAAACCAAAAGTCACACTGCCGCAGGTGGAGCGTAGATGAGCGTTACACTATAAGGAGAAAAAAAATTAATGTTAATTTGTCAGTGAATATTTGTGACAGTGACCTCTGGTTTTATATAGATTCTGGTGAGGGCAGAACATTGAGTTCTAAAACACTGATGCACAAAAACATGCGTGATAAGCGTTATCACAGTCGAAGGCTTGGTCATGTTTTGGTTCACAAGCCGCTGACTCGCCCTTCAGAAGCAGACTGTAGTTTGGGAAAGCTGTGTTTGTATCCTCAGACCTTTTTTTTTTTTAAATCTCGATTTAAAAATGCTTTTGTAGAGGTTTTTAGTTTTTGGGAGTTCCCTGGTTTATGTGATTACGAGACCACAGGAAATATCAAGCTTTGTCGTGTAGATCTCTTGGCTGGATATCCTGATATACTGATAAGACGTCAACTCCCTTTTTAAAGTGAGATCCTCTTTATTCTGTTTGATTGTTGTTGAAATGCGTTCGTGTGGGAGCTTGTGACGGAGTCAGAAACAGGTTTTTTAATCTATAATTTTATATTTTATAACATAAAGCACTTCATTCTAGAATTATTTATTATAGGCACCAACCACAACAAAAAAAAACTGCATGGCTGAATATTTAATTGGGTCATAGAACAACTGAATACCAGCTTGTCATCCATCCTGTCCACCTTATCGATCGTGGACGCTGAGGACAAAGTTCACCTGTGTGCTGAAGGCGTTACCTGTCTCTGGCAAAGGTAACAGGAAACAGCAGAGTGGGAGGAAGGGAAAGAGAGTTGTTAGCTGTGTCTTTTGGGATTTAATCACACTGCAGGTATGTAAAAATATGCTCAGCTGACAGCTCTAGAAAACAGCAGTATTCAGTATTTTGCCAACACTGCTGACCCCTGTGTGTTGCTCAGAAATGATCAGAAGAGAGAAAAACATCTGATGGTTGCTTTAATAGCTGTAGAAACACTGATGGTCAGTAACATTTAATTTCCGACATGAACTTTTTTTTCCTGGTCACTATCTTTAAATTTGCAAAAATATGCATGCAAAGTATATTATTGGCTTAAATGTAAACAACAGAAGCTGTGATGAGAAGGGACACTATTGGAAATTGGATTTCCACTTTGCATTTATGTAAAAATATAATGAGTCAGGGAATAATATAGTTTGAGCTGACTGAAGTTTGAAAAGAAAGAAGACAGAAACTTTCCCTGAATGAAAACTAACGCCTTGGAAACGGTGTGTAAGATGAAATGGATTTTTTTTTTTTTTTTTTAAACTGTATTGAGATTTACTGTGTGTTGGGGTCAAACTCCTGCTGTGAGCCGAACAGTTTAATCAGAATGTGACGCAGCATCAGACAAACTCGGTGATATTAGACCATACCATGGACGTAGCAGGTTGTTAGCGTTAGTTAGCGTAGCATTAAGCAGCAGGTGAATGAACACAAGTAGTTTGTGTTTTGAATGATTTCATTTTCTGATTTGTGTCGAGCAAGTGAAGCCACACTGGAAACATCCATTCGAAGGAGAAGCTAAGCTAACAGGCTAGGCTATGAAAAAACGTAGCTAAGCGAGCTTTCATCTCCAGCAGTCACAAGCTGTCCAAGTGTAACAGACCGACTCTGTCATGTTTCTGCGTAGGATGAATGAAAGGACGTTTTCTGTCTGTTCATCTTTACTAATTAACAATTTAAATCACTGAGCAGCTCAGACGCTCCCGGCAGCTACCAGCATCTTTTAAGGTGGAATATTTTCTTGCGTGTTACTCAATGCATGATTGACCTTTGGAAATCAATCTATACACCTTTGAGGTTATAAAAGCTGAAATGTGCCCAAACGCTTCGATGAAGATGGAGCAGGTTGAATGAATTTTTCCTTTACGTCTCCATTGCTCTCACTGCGCTTTCTCTCTAGTATCTGGGCGGAAACCGACATGGCTCCGTTTTTCTCCGAGCTAAGACCGACAAGCTAAACTGATGTCAGGAAAAAATTTAATGTTTCTTTTGTGTTTGTTTGGTTTTTTTTTTTTTTTGAATTTATGAATGGATTTTGAATCTGTAGAGACAGAATCGTGATTCGTGTGATCTGCTCACAGCACAGTGAAGTATTTCTTTCCGAAAGCTGTTTGAGTTTTAATGGCAACTAATTGACAAACTCATTAACCTTTAAGTGTCACTTCACCCTGTATAATGTGTCGAGGGATTAACCTGGAACTATGGCCTGGTTCCACCTTCACTGATCATCATCCGATCTGACATTCAGCAGGAGGGGGGAGGGAGCCTGTCTGTTCACAGCACTATGATATTACATTGTTAAGGCCGGTTCAATGAAAGGCCAAATTTAATGTTTTTAAAGCTAACTTAGCCAAATGCTAAGGTGATAAATGTACATCCTGTCGCTAATTAAACTAAAAAGAATGTATTCCTCAGCAGTAATCTGGTTGAGACTCAGTGATTGTTCATTATGCTGACTGGTCTCATAAAGAACCAAATATAACTGTTGAAATGTACCTTGTTATTTTGGGAGTGGAGAATCAGAGGTGATTCTGGGTCACCAGTATAAAACTTTGAAGAGCCAATGTACCAAACAGGAGGCAACAAAGACCCAGAATGCCTGTGACAGTGGCGTCCCGATTATGTAACTACTGGACTAGAAAACTCTCTGTTTGCACTCAGTGGGCCATGATAGACAAGCTTGTTGCTCAGCCAGACTAAGCAGATTTTCAGCTGGTAGCCTAGATGGCTTGGAATGAGCCTCAGCATTTTGTGCCATCTGAACTGTTACAGCTGCTGCCTATGGAGAGACGGTAACAACAGCAAGTGACTAAAGTGAAGGAATACACAGTCTTCTCAGCATGAATCAGGCTTCCTGCATAAATGACAAAAATGTTTTTGTCATCAAATTAAAATTAGTTGATTTATGATCAGAACATAAAAATAACACTCAGGCTCATGACTAGCAGTTGGATTTACTGCAGGACTGTATCAGACTCCATCAGTTTAATGTTCCTAATAAACTGATCACTGAGTGTATATTAGTGATTATCAGGTGTATGTACAGACTGCAAAGAGCCTGACTGGAGTTAGTTGGTTGATTTTGTTGCTGCTCTCACCTGTGAACTGATTCACCTGGTGACCTGAAGATGCTCTTTAATTCAATAGTTTTATCATATAATATTATTATCATTATTATTATTATTATTATCACCAAATAAGATGTTTGACCCCTCCCCTTTTAAAATGTAACACGTTTAATCAGATATTTTATTTTATCGGTTAAATAAACATAACGATACTGATAATCGAAAAATGCTGAATATTACCACTGATAATCGCCCAGGCTGATAATCGGTCGATATCTACTTCAAATACATATAAATTATTAAAATCAATCCAGTGAACATGCCTGACAATTGAAAAGCTCTGCAATGCATTAAGAAAAAAATCCTGAATCCTTAATTCCTTAATGTTTTTTTGTTATTGTTTTTAAATTAAAACTGTAGTCGCGCCAGTGCTGAGGGGCTAAAACAATGACAAGGCAAATGTCTGTGGTAAAGCTAAAAGCCGTCTGATAAACGACTTTGTAAGTGGTCATGAAGCTGGTTGTAGGGCAATGTTGGGGGGGGGGGTTTCTACCACCATGATGAGCTGATCGTCTAAAGTGATGAGTTCAATGACCTGCTCTGTAATCTCTGGCCTCCTGCTGTCTCGAGGAAATGTCTCTCTGAAAGTATCCTCGTGTGTGTGTGTGTGCGTGCGTGCGTGTGTGTGTGTACCTGAGTTACCTGAGTGAACTCACTGATTCTGTTGAGCAAATGGTGCTCTCTGTTTACAACACCTGGGTGATAGCTGACAAAAACAAAGGTATCGGGTTTAGGTTTGTGCTCAATACAACTGACACTGATCAAATGCCTTGATCGGCCCTGATACAGATCTCTGAGGTCGGATCGGGAGATCCCCAGTTATAGCTGTGAGGCGGACTCTCTAGACCAGGCAGATGTTTCTTTTTTTTAGCTCAGATATTCAGTATTATCGCTCACATGTGGACTAATGACTAATAAAAAGATTTTTCATTGTGTAACTTCTTCAGAATTTGTTTTGTTTGTTTGCGTTCTTTAATCGAGAGTAAATTAGAGCTGGAAGATCTGCAAAAAAAATCACATTGCAATTGCATCTTCAGTTCAAATGGTTGTTTTTGCATTTTAATTTTCACTGAAAGAAATATAAAATGATGATGATATGATTTTTGTTGGTTCTTGTACCAAACAAACATGTTCCTTTACGTCTGGAGAATATGATCTGTAGGTCAGGGCGTCTCTGTAGCACCACAACACTGATGGTGCTAACAATGCTAATGCTAACAATGCACAAAAATGTCGTGACACATTTTACTTTCATCACAAAAACTGCAGCTGCTGTGATTTGGATATTGCTCTTGGCCATGTTGTGATTTTGATTATGTTTCCATAACTAAAAACTTACATGTTTTCTTTTCTGCAGGTTACTAAATTTGCTCCAGTCATCGACGAACCCCAAACTGAACTCTGAAGTTACATCAGCTCTCTGACGTCTGTCTAACATCACCAGCAGCGCCATCACTTCAGTCCCTGGATATTGACAGCGAACATTGTGCCGTTGCCGTGGTGACACTACAGAGGGACCTTGATCGACAGGCCTCCCTCCAGAGGAACTGTGAGGGGCCGTCACGGAAAGGAACATGTGCTAGAAGTTGAACATCTTTCCTGAACGACTGGTCAGCTTTGACGCTAGAAGATGAACAATGAGGATGAGTTCTACGACGCCGTCACAGGTGGGAGAGAGAGTGTGTGTGTGTGTGTGTGTGTGTGTGTGTGTGTGTGTGTGTGTGTGTGTGTGTGTGTGTGTGTGTGTGTGTGTGTGTGTCAATAAATCTTTCTCCTAAATTCACATTTTGAATTTTTGAAAATTGCAGTTTTGTTATTTTTTTACGTCTGATTTTTCACTCAACTTCTTTTTAAAGGGTGTCGTTCTTGATTAAACGGCCTGTTTTGCCTCCACAATAAAACCGTCTAATGGAACCTAACCTGCTGATTAGGGCTGATGATTAGTTCAATAATTCAGAGGTCAGAGGTCATGATAGTCGTGCGTGTCATCAACACCCTGGACTCTGTGAGTGGTCGTAGTCGTGCCTCTTCTTCTTTTTTTATTTTTTTATTTCTATAATTGCAGTTAAATGAATTCACCCCCCCACTGCTACAGTTCTGATATCCACACATCAGCCAATTACAAACGCATGTGATTAAAGCGAATCCCATAGAGCTGCTTTTACTTATGAGGATGACTTTTGTATCGTTCCTCTGTCATCATAACTGTTCACTACGAGTATAAGTTCTCTTCTACGTTGTTATGCCCCGCCCCTCCCCCTCCCATCGTCAACGCACATTCTGTTCTTCTTTCCACGTTAGACTTTCATTTATTAAAATCTAATATGACGCACTTCACATGGTAAGAATACACACCTGGCACCTGCTCAGTGTCATACTGTGAAGGTGTGTTTACAGAGTGATAATAAACCATTTGGTCTATTTCAAGCTGCGTTTAAGGCCCCACCTTGAGTTCACCAAAACCCCACCCTGCAGCACTGAGAGTTTACCTGCGGTGTCACCACCCAGGTGTAGGTCAACAGGTGTGTGACTGGTGTGATTTTTACAGGGAGGAAATCTGGTCAGTCCTTTTTAATATGACAGAATCTTTCTCTAACTTGTTGTAGCTTTTTGTTTTTTCAGTTTGGTCTCTTAATTCTTGTTTATACGTTATTATTTTCTTTTTCTTTTTTTTTTTTACCATTAATATTGCTTTAAATTTAGTTTTATTTTTATTTTTATTGACAATATCACATAAACAGTGAATTTTTTGCACAATTTCTTTGCAGCTATTGCAGATACTCAAACAAGATGCCACGGTTTAATTCATATGGCTCCTCTAAATAGTTTCAGGCAATCAACAAAATATTCCAGTCAAACCCAGACAAGAAGTTCCTGATGCAAAGCAGTATGCAAATGTGTGGCATTGTCTGTGACTGTCTAATGTTGCAAACAAAACACTGATCTGTCATTCAAAATCAACTGCTAGTGAAATCACAGTCTCTATATCACGAGAAGACTAGTTTTTAATATCACTCTCTGTCATAATATCACTATCACTTTCTTTTTAATACGCTGGTGAACGAGATTTCCTGCAACTGTGACCTGATGTCAGTTTTTGCCCCCCCTCCAGGCCTGGATTCTGACGAGTCGTACGAAGGGGTGTCGGAGGCCAGTTTCAAAGACGCGCTGGTGTTTGATGGCAGCAGTCAGAAGGACAACGGATCCGTGCCTCAGGAGAACGGCATCAAGAAACACAGGTACCGCTGCATTCCTGCTCCACATTCCACCTGCAGCCTGTGTCTGTGTGTTCGGAGCCGCTCCTGAATCCAGTACAATCTGCTGGGCGGAGTCACAACTAGAGATGAAGCAGAATAAACATTTAATATCACGATCATTGTGACCAGAATAATTATTGTTTTAAATGTGCTTAAAATGTTCAAAAAGTAATAAAGCACAAACTGAAACCTTGTCACCAAGTGAATGTTTGAATTTAAACATTAAAATAATAACAACACAACACACGTGTTTACATTTATTCTAACACATACGTGTTTGCTGTACACTGATTTTAGCGTTTCGAATAAGAGGAAGACTTAGCTGTGAGCTGAAAAATTTGAGCCCGTTTCATCACCATAACAACTGCATTTCAAATGTGTAGTACGTATTCCCTGAAGTCCCTGGGTTCTCGGTGCAGGCGTGACTGTCACTAAGAAATATGAAGATGCATATTTCTCACGCTGTCAGACCTGTTCTGTTCTAGCTGTGAAATATTAATACGTCTCTTCAAATGTTGGCAAGAAAGAGGAAAAGGTAGGAGCCCTCTCTGTGGCTCGTACATTAAAAACACTTGGCTTTTTCTCTAGGAAAGAAAAGCATCAACACAGTCAGGAATATTGTCAAATTAAAGGATGTTTGTTCAGTTAAAATTAAGATATAAAAAGATATTATGTGGTTATTTAATGATAAACTGTCCGTGCAAGCTCTGTCTTAAAACAGAGAGCGGACACACGCTGGAACGATTTCACTGATTTATAAAAATGTCTCCTGCTCGTTATTATTCATCACTTATTTACAAACTATTTTGTTCCCGTCGGGATCCTGTAGGAATGATGACTCAGTGGTTTCGGTTTTTGAAGTTAACCTGCTCTGGGGTAGGTTAGGAGTTCAGCATCAGTTACCATGGTGATTTACCTGCTGACAAATGAACCACCATCGTAGGACTGAAAACCCAGAGGTAAACCTGAAGTTACCTTGACAACCTCAGATCCTGCGTCGTAGTCCAGGCCTCTGTTCTCGTCTCTTTGTCCACAATCATCAGAACAACGTGTCAGATTTAAGGCTGAATTGCCTCTTTCTCTTTCCAACTCCTTTCTAATCCACGTGTTACGAGCTTTTCTGTATCTCCTGCCCTGCGAACAGACCAGACAGACCACATGCTCCGTTTATCTACAACCCTGACTCTGTCAGATCAGATACTGATGGTACCGATCGTCTTCTCTTTCTTCATCTGTGCTTCTGTATCACCGTCATCTCTGGAAATATGTTTGTCTGGATACCAACGACCGAGAACTGAAGCTTAGAGTTCTCAGTGAAACATCACAGACGGTGGAAAACAATATTATGTGTTTTAACTTACAGAAAGTTGTTGGGTTTTTATGATTGAAAATGGTTTTTAGCGTCAGAATCTCTTCATTCATTCCCAGTCATTTCTTTCATTTCAGAAAGTCGTTACCTGCGCCCATGTTTTCCAGGAACACTATGAGTGTCTGGAGTATCCTGAAAAAATGCATCGGACTGGTAAGAACCTGCTACTTTTCCACCTTATTTACAATTTCTCCCAGTGGCAGGTTTCCTGCACGGAGGGAAGCTGAGTTCATTAGACCAGGATAATGAATATTTTTGGCTCATGTTGAGCTTAGTGTGATTTTAGGACAGTGAGCCAAGTAAGTTGTGAAAAAGCAATACTTGGAATTGTATGATAATAATAATAATAATAATAATAATAATAATAAACTTCATTTGTATAGCATGTTTCTTAACAAAGTTTCAAAGTGATTTACAGAAAGAAAAAAGGGGAAATTAAAAACAAAAGAAAAACAAACACATGAAGTTACACAACAATATAAATGTCACACGTCTAAAACAAAGTGACTTTTTGACCTGCTACATGTCAAAATTGATTGTGTAATATTTTAATTATTCAGTAATATTGGCCATCAGTTGTCTGCCTGGTTTATGACACCAATAGTTTTCTCACCAGGACTGAAACTGATTTAAGAAATTCAACTGATTTGAAACGTATTTTATTAATAATCTAAAATACAGACTTTTTTTTTTTAACTTCTTTACAGGAACTGTCCAAGATCACGATGCCCATCGTCTTCAACGAGCCTCTGAGCTTCCTGCAGAGAATCACAGAATACATGGAACACACTTACCTCATCAACAGAGCCTGTTCACTGCCCGACTCTATAGAGCGCATGCAGGTCAGACACACACACACACACACACACACACACACCAGTCATCAGTGTACGGGCTTGAAAGAAATTAACATTTGCTGGATCTTTTTTAAGCGTTGACCACATTCAGTCATTTTTTTGTGTCAAATAAAAACATTATTTATTTATTTAGTTATTTTATTTGCAAGGAGAAATTTAAACTCAAGTTCACAATACAATGCTTTAAATAATGTGAACAAATGGAGCCTCACAAATAAATCCTGGTGCAGAAGGTTCAACAAACAGCTCAGTGTTCAGATCTAAATGAATTTATCTCAGTGCAGTTTTCACTCTGATATGTTCAGTTCAGAAATCAGCGATTGTAAAGAATTAAAGTAATTAAAGAAATGCAGCATAGACCTACGTCGTGTAGATCAGAACTGACTACAGATCAAACAAAAGCTCCGGAAAATTAATGTGAGAAGATGCAACCTACACGGAAATAGAGACACACATGTAAACATCGTCATGTCACAGTTACACACACACACACACACACTCACACACACACACACACTCACATGGTATGTGAAACCGTGTCTTCAGGCTGTAGCTGCTTTTGCTGTGTCAGCAGTCGCGTCTCAGTGGGACAGAACTGGAAAACCCTTCAACCCTCTGCTGGGAGAGACCTATGAACTCACCAGGTACACACACACACACACACACACACACACGCACACACACACAGTTTAAACGGTGTATTTATCCTCTCTTTTTTCTCTCCTGCCTCCCACAGAGAGGAGCAGGGTTTCCGGTTGGTATCGGAGCAGGTATCCCATCATCCCCCGGTCAGTGCCTTCCATGCAGAGAGCCTGGTCGGGGACTTTGTCTTCCACGGCTCCATCTACCCCAAACTCAAGTTCTGGGGCAAGAGTGTCGAGGCCGAGCCCAAAGGGACCATCACACTAGAGCTACTCAAGTGAGTCCGAGAGGGAGGCTTTTCTTCTCTTTCATCCGGTCACTCCTTCATGTTGTTTTATTCCCTGTCCCTCACCTCCTTCCCTCTCCCTCCCTCCCTCCCTCTTTCTCCTCCAGGCACAACGAGGCGTACACATGGAGCAACCCGTACTGCTGCGTACACAACATCATCCTAGGCAAACTGTGGATAGAGCAGTACGGCACGGTGGAAATAGTCAACCACAGGTGGGTAAACACTACATGCATGGTGTCAGGTGGCGGGTTGTAGTTCTACTCATGAGCACATAGAATGAATTACAGTTTTTCAGTTAATTGCTAAAACACTAAATCCCATTCTCTGAACCAAATCCACAGTGGCCCGAACACATCAATTGAATCAATCACAATTTTCACCTGTTTCCTGTTTTATTGTTGATTGCTGTACACACACACACACACACACACACACACACACACACACACACACACACACACACATATAAATATATATATAGTTATATCAACAGTGTAATGTACTTTTCATGTGTTTTTATCCTTTCTGCCTTTTGCTTTACTGAAGTTTTACTTTATGCAAGTGCTGAATCCAGACATTACCGTAATGCTTGTAGTACCTGGAGTTGCCAATACTGTAACTGTAACTGTTGCTGAGCAGTGAATATTTTATTAGAAAACATAAAATGCCTTCGCTCTGTTTCTGAAAACAGGTAAAACTGTTGTGAGGTGATTGTTTGATTGAAAGAGACAGAGGTTTTGTGAAAGTAGCTGGACCGCTGAGTTTTGTGTTCACAGTTCAGAGAAATTACAGAGTATTACAGTTTTTCGCAATTGTGAAAAACTGTAATACTCAGATCAGACACGATGATCAGAGCGACCTTCCTCACCCTCGACTCTCCAGAGTTTTGTCTCCTGAGTCGTCTACACAGTTCAACCACAGCAGAGTGAAGCTGACTCTGTCTCAGTTTACTCTGTCAGTGTTTCCTCTGATACTTCACACTGTAGCTCGTTCACTCTCTGTGTCCTCCCGGGCAAACAAACCCAGGGAGACTTTTTAAACCTTTGTTTATCCAGTGAAGCTCTGCAGAGCTTGTTTTATCCTTATTTCTGTCACTGTGTGTCACATTCACACAGTCGCACAGATTCACACCAGGAGCTGTGAAGACGTTTCCTGACACGTCTTAGACCTTTTATATGAGACATGAGCTGGTTCTTCTTCTCTCCTCCTTTCTCCTGCAGCACTGGAGACAAGTGTGTGTTGAATTTCAAGCCTTGTGGGATGTTTGGCAAAGAGCTGCACAAAGTGGAGGGATACATCCAGGACAAGAGGTCAGACTTTATTTCTACATCGGCTGCAATATGAATATGTTGTAACATTTTCTAGAATTTAAAGTTTCAAAATGTTTTTTTTCACATTTATTCTCCTTTTCTACACTTTTTCTCTCCCATACCTCTTCCTCACCCCCCTCCCTCGGTCCTGTCTCTCTCTCTGTGTCCAGTAAAAAGAAGCACTGTGTCATCTATGGGAAGTGGACCGAGTGCATGTGGAGCATTGACCCTCAGGCCTACGAGACCCACAAGAAGTCGGAGAAGAAAGGCGACAACAAGAAGCACAAACATGTGAGAACGAGTTAGAAAACGTCTCACAATGAGACTGGAGTTTCTGTGTCTGCTGTTTTTTAAAGAAGCTTAATATATAAAAGATTCAGTGTTGTATTGTGTCGCTTTTATTTCACCCAGATTGTGAATATTACTGAGTTGTTTTCTTATGATTTTTAGGGTTAGTCTTATTTATTTTGTTTTCTTCTTCTCTTGATTCCTTGTTGGTGTCCACAGCGTTGTGTGTGGTCTTATCCAGGTAATCCATCAGGCTTGTGTAGGTCGATGTTGATGCCGTCAGTTATTCAGCTTTAGTCTGCTTGGTTATTTGTAGTGAAGCGTAACAGCTGCAGAGTGTGTGACACTGTGGTAACTGTGTGTAGATACAGTACAAACGATGTGATGATGTTATTTGCGGTTGCATCTTTTTTTTTTTTTTTAAATATATATAAAAATGTATTTGTGTAGTCACAATGAAGTATATTGTTTCCAGGAGGAGCCGGAGGGAGCGGATAACGACGACGCAGATGACATGCCTGAAGTCCAGGAGACGGTGTGTGTCGTACCAGGAAGCACTCTGCTGTGGAGGATAGACTCCAGACCGGCGCACTCTGCTACGGTATAAACATGAAAACACAGACACTGGGTCGTCCTCCGGCCGTGGTTTGAAGGAGCTGTAGCGGACTGAATTAAATAATGTTAATATAACTCTTTCTCCAGTTATCGTTGAGCAAACTTAAACAACACCATTCAGGCTGTTCTTGTTGTTTACGGATAATCAATGAAACCAGCAAATATAATAATGATTATACATAATATATAATAAAAATAACATAAAATAGTGTCACGGACATGAGAGGAGTTACAGAGAATTCTCTGTTGTCTCTGTTTCTAGATACTAAACTGTGTCGACAGTTTGAACTTCCTCACCGTGTTCGATCTTTTGGTTTATGAAATCAATGATTAATTCTTTGGTTTTTGATGCGTTACTTTAGAGGAAGTTCTCATCACACATCACCAGTGAATCAGCTGATCAGACGCTTTTCAGAAATAAAAACAAAAAATCCCAGCAAACACAAATACAGTCAGAGCTGCTGTTGTCAATGGATTTGATAAACTGAATAATGATGAGACTTGATTTAATGAGGGAACAAACAGATTTGATGCAGATCACACATCTACATTTACAGACACACACTCATCCTCCTCCTCCTCCTTCCCTCAGATGTACAATTTCACCAACTTTGCGATGTCTCTCAACGAGCTGGAGCCCGGCATGGAGGCCATGTTGGCCCCCACCGACTGTCGCTTCAGGCCCGACATCAGAGCCATGGAGAACGGAAACATGGGTAATTTAAATATAAACATCTGTGTGTGTAAATGAATGAATATAAAGTAAACTGAGAAGTTACAGCTGAACTTATCTCCACACTTTTCAGTGATGCTACATTTTTGTCACTAAATAAATGTTTTAAAATGACTCCAAATGAGAATATTAATACTAAGACGATGCTGCCACCTGCTGGACGTTTGTGTCACTGCCTTGTGTTGATCTGATCCAAGTGTTTACAACTTTATTAACCTGAAGTGAAAAAATTGTTTTCTTGGAGGAATCTCTTTAACTTGATCCACAAGCTAAACGCTAAACGCTAAATGCTACAATCTGCAGAGGTTGTGACGTGGTTGTTTTTGTGCAGATGAGGCCAGTAGGGAGAAGGAGAGACTGGAGGAGAAACAGAGAGCGGCCAGGAAGGAGAGATCCAGGAATGAAGAGGAGTGGTCCACTAGGTAGGAAACATGGGCACACACACACACACACACACACACACACACACACACACACACACACATATACTAATTAGTGCTGCGCAGTTAATCGAAATATAATCACTGTCACAATATGACCAAGTGCAACATTCAAATCACAGGAGCCGCAGTTTTTTTGATGAAGGTAAAATGTGTCACATTGTTTGTTCATTATTAGCATTAGCATTGTTAGCACGAGCAATGTTATAATATTAAAGATAATAGAGAATATTTAAGATATTTCAGTGACGATGAAATTAAAAAATGATCATTCCAAGTGAAATCTTGACTCATATGACGCATATCGTTCAGCCCTAATACGTAACTTTCAATGTTCATTTAAATTAATTTAAACATGCAAATGCTGCCAACACAACACAACACAACACAACACAACACAACACAACACAACACAACACAACACAACACAACACAACACAACACAACACAACACAACACAACACAACACAACACAACCAGGTTTATCAGGTGCATCATGTTACAGAAACAACAAAGACCTGTTTTATCTCGACTCTGCTGTAGTTTCATATTTTAAACCAATTTCCAAACAAGTGAGATCTCCTCAATCATCGTCATCTGTCGACAACAGAGTCACTGATGTGACAAGTTACATTTTAGCCAATTTTGAAAATAAATTATCATTTATTTTAAATTGACAGGGTGTATTAATTGTCGTGTGTGTGTGTGTGTGTGTGTGTGTGTGTGTGTGTGTGTGTGTGTGTGTGTGTGTGTGTGTTTTAAAGAAATATTATACAGAGATTTGACATTTGGGGAAATTATGCTAATTATCTTTCTAACAGAAACATCAGAAAACAACTAATGAATAAATAAAGTTAGAGGGTAAACTACGGAAGCCTTGAAAGGCAAGTGAGAAATTCTTTTGTGAGGATCATTTTGTGTAAAAAAAATATTTATTAGTAAAATTAAATAAGTTAAATAAACAATACAAATCAGACATAAAGAAACTGTAACAAGCTGTTGGAAAAAAAAACCACAACAATAAAAATAAAATGTAAAAAGAATATAAAAACTAAAGGTCATGGTGAATTCCTGCAGACACTTGACCTGTGTTTGTCCTTCAGGTGGTTCCAGTCCGGCACCAACCCGTTCACCGGCCTGCAGGACTGGATCTACACCGGCGGCTACTTCAACAGGAGCTACCAAGACCTGCCCGACATCTACTGAGAGCCCACGAGCCTTCCTCCTCCTCCTCCTCCTCCTTTGTAACCTGCAATGATCTGCCTATCACCAATTGGAGAGAAATGTAAAGCACCCACCAACCTTTACTCCCATCTTCATCTCACTGCCTTCATCGTCGTCATCACCTTTAAACTGACCCACAGATCGCAAAGTCTCACAAAGAAACCGTCACGTCTCGGAAACTGTGGCCTGCTCGATGTCTTCTTCATCCTCCTCCTCCTCACCACACTCTTCCTCTCATCACCTTTATTTCATCACCTGTCGACCAGCAGACGTTTCCCACCTTTCTGCCCCCCCCCCCCCCCCCCCCCCCCCGACCACGTTTAGAGCACAATAACCGGATCCACCCCGGCAGCAGAGAGTTGGTACGAGCCCCGAAACCCACAGGTCCAATCTGAATGTTCAGTCTTTACAATCACAGAGAAACCACTGAGTCACACGTGTCATCAGTGAGTCAAAGCACCATGAAGACAGTCATCGCAGGGACGGATCTACGTACAAAGATGGCCGCCCAGTCAACGGGGAAATCAGGGATGTGAATGCTCCTTTGACTGAAGATGGAATTTTGAGGAGGATTTTTTCTTTTTTGGAAACTTTTAAAGAATGAAACCCTCAAAAACAAAATATATATAATGACATAGTACATAATAAATGATAAAGAAACACTGTTGGTTAAATTGGTCAAAGACAAATCATATGCAAGCATGAGCGAATTTCTGTCCCTGTGTCATATCCCCAAAACATTTAGTAACCACTGTTAACCACTGCCTTCCCATTAACCTTCTACTTAAGGTTTACGTATCGAAGTAAATCAAAACACCTAACACGAGACGGATGTTTCCTCGACAGCGAAGTGGAATGTGCAGCTCGAACGGGATCCGAAACGAAACCACACGAGATCTGATAACGACTCCGCTGAATGTTAGCACAACAACGGACTGTCGGCAGCGACGAAACACTCGAAGCAGAGGACTGGATGCAAAGTATTCTGGAGCTTAATGTGCAGAAACATCCCAAGTCAATGTGTCTTTCCACATTTTGAATCATAAAACTCGACACCAGAAATGAGCTACATCAACATCACGACTCCCAGGAAACATTTGGACTGTAGCTGCTCTGTAGCTTCATCTTAATGTTACACACACACACGCACACACACACACACACACACACACACACACACGGTGTTTTAGATGGTCGACTGTCAGTATTTCGCCTTTAGTTCCAGCTGAGCAGGACTCAGGTTTCCACTCAAATGTGGAGTGGAAATCCAAGACGTAAGATCTAAAGTATATTAGCTGGATAATAAAGAGAACACAGGAATGGATTGGACAGATCTGACTTTCATTTTATCAGATATTGATGTTGATTGATTTAGTATGTAAGCTGAAATAATATTAACATATTTTCAAACATTCCTCTCAGTGGGATGATTTTATTCAGATAAAATAATAAATCCAGACATAAATAAAATTTAAAATCCCTTTCTATCTGTCGCTTTGCTGAAACAGTTGTGTTGTTGTCGTCGTCGTCATTGTTGTTGTGTGGATGCAGCTCATTCAGACAAAACACTGCTTCATGTTTATCATCAGTGTCTCCCTGTGAACAGGTTACATCCCTCAGCTCTCCAGGTCATCAACACTCACTCCTCACATTACCTGCAGGCCTGTTTGCACTGGTGAAAATGGAAAGGAGTAGCTGGAAAAGTTTAATTTAGAATAATATGGACAGAGAATGTGCCACAAATCTAATGAGATGACTTTAAACCCTGTGAGATCTTCAGAGATATTTATTTTGAACGTTACTCAATACTTTCATGCATTTCAAAATCCAGATGTTTAAAAGAAATCGTGTTTTCATCAGTGCATTCAGGAGCTATAACGTATTTCATGATACGCCTCTATGCAACTTTTGCAGCTCAACATTTCTGCAGTATGTCTGATCTGTCTTTCTACAGTAGCTTTACACTCCCCAACACACACACACACACACACACACACACACCCTCAGCCTCAGCTCGGATAATAATGACTTTGCCTTCTTAGTTAATCTTAATATATTATATTCCAGATAGTTAAAACAGATTATGTGTTGAACTACTTGGCACTACAACCAGCCTTGTGTCACATCTTAGATCAATTTCACTTTACATTTCCATGTCGTGTCCATGTTTCCATGTCATGTTAGTGCCTGGATTTTTTTTTTTTTTTTTTTTAGTTTCATTCCCTTGTTTTTTTTTTCTCTTTTTTTATTCATGTCTATTATTTATGATATTTGAGGTTTTATGAAAGAATTCTGTTGTTGTTTTTTTTCTCCTTTGCTTATGTTTCTAATTCTAAAGAGTTTTCTGTCCAATCATGAATCTGAAGCGTTTGATAGAGGAGCAGAGTGTCTAGTCAGGGCTTGACGTGAACATCATTCACCAGCTTAACACTTAACGTTTGACTGTGGCCGTTACATTTGTCAGATTTACTAGCCAGGGCAGTTTGAAGATAGACGGACTGCGATTAATCATTATTTCCTGTTAGAAACTATTCGCTGCTTAAATTCACAGTTAAAATCCAGAATCCGGTTATTTTTTTATGTCTAGATTATCTGGGAGGTTTTTTCAGCGTGTCATTAAAAGTCTATCATGCAAACACTACTCAAGTTGCACCGTCACGGGTCAAATCATCGCTGCAACAGTTAAATAAAAAAATTAATTAATTAATTAAATTAAATAAATAAATGAATCTAAACTTTGATAAAAATAGTTTCACTGTAAATGAGTTGCATCTGGTAAAATGTGGCTAGTAAACATATGGAACGGTTACATTCATCCGTGCTGATTCAGACTCTACCAGTTACAAGACTAACGCTGTGTCATTAAACTAGATGTAGGTTTTATGTTGCTTTGAGTGTTGGTTCTTTCTGTTGAATTTTACCCTCCTCCTCTTTTTGACTGTATGATGTGGTTGTCGATGTTATATATGTGTACAAGTGTTGCACAGAGGTAATCACAAGCAAAATGGCATATTATTTTGTGCAATTGATTTATTTTTATAGTATTTAAGCAGTTTTTGGTGAGAAAATTGTACCAGATGTTTTATTTTGAGGTGGGGGACTGTAAGGGGTTGTATCCATAACTGTGGACAGCTTGGTAGATTAATGAACGGGGGAAATGTCTACTAATAAAATCCTAATTTCAGTTCTTGGCCATGTTTCATTCTTTTTTTTTTTAATAAAATAATATTAAATATACATTAACTTTATCCCACTATACTTGTCTAGCCAATATACTGAATTATTGTTCAAGGAATCAGAGTTGACATGTTTAATTACATTTTTTTTTTTTTTCCCAGGCTACATAGGACATGCAAGTGGTTCTAGGAGTACAAAAAGAAGAGCTGTACTTAGTCGCAGCAGAGCTTTGGACTAAATGCTAACAACAGCAAGCTCACATACAAACAGTGAGCCTTTTCCACAGCAGACATTCTGACTTCTAGTGGTAGGAAAAGCACATTATAACATTGAGAATGACTCTGTTCTCTTCAGTTAATGTTTCCTTCAACTCACCGAGATTTCAACACCAACAACTCGACAGAAGCTGTCTCCCTCAAGTTCACAGTCAGGATTCCAATAAAAGTGCAGCTTATTAGCTTATTAGTTGACACATGGAAATATTCAAGGTTTTACAATTATTCTGTGCTGTTTCCTACCAAGAGTTCTTTAGCTGATCTGCAGCACGTTCTCAAGACGTTTCAGGAGGTGACCTCCTCCTGAAACGGGTGTTGGGAAATATCACATAGCGTCACCTACACCAGGTGTGCAGAGTGTATTGTGCCACCACAGTAAACAACGTACATCTACACCCCTAAAGGACATACAGTTGTGTGAAAAAATGTTTGCCCCCTTCCTGATTTCTTTTTTTTTTTTTTTTTTTTGCATGTTTGTCACACTTAAATGTTTCAGATCATCAAACTAATTTAAATATTAGACAAAGATAACACAAGTAAACACAAAATGCAGTTTTTAAATGAAGGTTTTTATTATTAAGGGGGGAAAAAAAATCCAAACCTACATGGCCCTGTGTGAAAAAGTGATTACCCCCCCCCCGTTAAAACATAAATTAACTGGTTTATCACATCTTTGGAAAGCTGAGTTCAATTTCTCTAGCCACACCCAGGCCTGATTACTGCCACACCTGTTCTCAATCAAGAAATCACTTAAATAGGACCTGCCTGACAAAGTGAAGTAGACCAAAAGATCCTCAAAAGCGAGACATGATGCTGCGATCCAAAGAAATTCAGGAACAAATGAGAAACAAAGTAATTGAGATCTATCAGTCTGGAAAAGGTTACAAAGCCATTTCTAAAGCTTTGGGACTCCAGCGAACCACAGTGAGAGCCATTATCCACAAATGGTGAAAACATGGAACAGTGGTGAACCTTCCCAGGAGAGGCCGGCCGACCAAAATTACCCCAAGAGCGCGGCGACGACTCATCCAAGAGGTCACAAAAGACCCCAGAACAACATCCAAAGAACTGCAGGCCACACTTGCCTCAGTTAAGGTCAGTGTTCATGACTCCACCATAAGAAAGAGACTGGGCAAAAATGGCGTTCCAAGACGAAAACCGCTGCTGAGCAAAAAGAACATAAAGGCTCGTCTCAGTTTCGCCAGAAAACATCTTGATGATCCCCAAGACTTTTGGGAAAATACTCTGTGGACTGACGAGACAAAAGCTGAACTTTTTGGAAGGTGTATGTCCCATTACATCTGGTGTAAAAGTAACACAGTATTTCAGAAAAGGAACATCATACCAACAGTAAAATATGGTGGTGGTAGTGTGGTGGTCTGGGGCTGTTTTGCTGCTTCAGGACCTGGAAGACTTGCTGTGGTAAATGGAACCATGAATTCTGCTGTCTACCAAAAAATCCTGAAGGAGAATGTCCGGCCATCTGTTCGTGACCTCAAGCTGAAGCGCACTTGGGTTCTGCAGCAGGACAATGATCCAAAACACACCAGCAAGTCCACCTCTGAATGGCTTAAGAAAAACAAAATGAAGACTTTGGAGTGGCCTAGTCAAAGTCCCAACCTGGATCCGATTGAGATGCTGTGGCATGACCTTTTTAAAAAGGCGGTTCATGCTCGAAAACCCTCCAATGTGGCTGAATTACTACAATTCTGCAAAGATGAGTGGGCCAAAATTCCTCCACAGCGCTGTAAAAGACTCATTGTCAGTTGTCGCAAACGCTTGATTGCAGTTGTTGCTGCTAAGTTTGGCCCAACCAGTTATTAGGTTTAGGGGGCAATCACTTTTTCACACAGGGCCATGTAGCTTTGGATTTTTTTTTCCCCCTTAATAATAAACCTTCATTTAAAAACTGCATTTTGTGTTTACTTGTGTTATCTTTGTCTAATATTTAAATTTGTTTGATCTGAAACATTTAAGTGTGACAAACATGCAAAAAAAATAAGAAATCAGGAAGGGGGCAAACACTTTTTCACACAACTGTATAGGGTTTTAGTAGCGCTTTGTTTCACATGGGTTACATCTCCATAAATATTGCATTTTTCAATCGACATGGGTTTATGACAGTGTGTTGTGAAAAGAAGATGTGTGTGTCCCCAATGCAGGGCCTGAACCCAGCAGCAGTAGCAGCAGCACCAGCACCAGCAGTCCAGATAGAGCCTGACAGGCTGAAATGAAACACACAGATAGGGAAGTGGCAGCTAGGCAGACAGGAGCCAGTCTCCCATGGGTGCTGGAGATTAGGCTGACTCCTACTTCACATTCCCCAGTGAACAGAGCACCAGGGGCGTGTTCCAGCCCTCTAAATCCTCAGTTCCCCTCTATCTGCTCCCTGCGTACACTGGCATGTATCTGGGAGAAGTCGACTGAGGCTCAGTTGTAATACAAGGGGAGAAAGTTCACATTTTTTGTGATGATCTGACCACAGCGCAGACCAGAGCCATGATGGGGAGGGAGTGAGGCCCACCCTGCCCACCTTACAGGGCTCCACAGGGGCCACAGCAGTTTGTCAGAGGTGTGTGACAGGCTTGTGGTAGAAAATGATGATTGAAAAAAGAAGACATGCATCATGGGAAAACACAATTACAGATCACTTTAGCTCCTGCATGAGTAATTATTAGCTATTTAACATGAACATGATGAAAAGGGACCTTTTGTCTAATACCAGCGAGCAACACACAGCACATTAAGGCTACAGCCACTCTACTACGTTTTCGTTTTAAAACGTTTTTTGTTTTTTTTTACGTTTTTCGAGCACCGAAAACGGAGACTTTTGAAAACGCCCCATTTCAGTTTGAAACCCCCCAAGGATGCGTTGTTGTAGTCTGGACGGGCGACAGCAGAGATGTTTGGGGTCGATAACATCGACACCCGCGGTCGCTCCTTGATTGGGTCTCACCAGCCTCGACTACCAGCGATGAATACAGCACGGATAAAGAAATACAAGTGTAACTGACCTTGCTGTCTTTGCTAGCAGCTGTTGAGGAGTTCAATTCTGCATCTTAACACTGCAGCTGTCTTTGCTGTTCCACGTTCCCAGTATTTTTTTTTGCAACTAATCAACTGCAGCGAAGACAAACCGCTTCCTATTTACACCGGCTCGCGCGCGCGCCCAGTGTAGGTGATCGCTCAGGTACGAATGCGTTTTCAGGTGATCGGATGGACGGGGATCGTTTCTGACACGGAGCTAAAACAGTCGTCTGGAGGGGAGATCGATTTAGTTTGAAAACGCCGTTTTAAAATGAAAAACGAAGTAGTGTGGATGTAGCCTCAAGACACACTGTGTTTTAGCACAGGAGCAATAATAATTTAAGACTTTTCAGCTGCTGTAATTTTCTGATATTCCTACTAATTCTGGTTATTTTGTTTTTCCTCACAGGGACGCTGCCAACAACCAACTCATGCATAATGTTCTTCTTCACCCTCACACCTTCCCAATCATAAATGTTTGGCTTTCACCCATTGTAATACAGTTCTGATGTATTAGTTTTTTGGTTGATATATTATAAGACAACAGATGATATTTATTTCCCAAAACAATTATTAAATCAATATTTATGACAATATTGATAGACATATACATAGTAATAGGTTGTTGTTATTTCCCACACAGAAACAATGGTGCCTGTGGTCTCCAGATACACACACACACACACAGATAGACACACTCACTCACACACACGCAGTAGACTGATTGTATCCATACATCACATTGTGCTGTCTCTCCAGACCAGAGCGACAGCCTCCATCTCTCACTTCCAGCCACAGATGACAAATCAGATCTGAGCCTCCTCCCTATGTGTGGGAACTCAGTCGTCTGCCATCAAATACAGCTCAGCTCTGCCTCCCGCTGAGCTGGAATCAGCTGTGGCGATAAGCTGGTATCTGAGCTTCACTCCTGTCTGAGCGTCGGCTCCTCTGTTGGCCTTCCTCTGCACCATCACCAGTCCTCTCACAGTTGTTTCAACATGTCTTTGCTAACTGCTCATTATGGTTTTGGGGTTGGTTGGAGGCTTCCTCTGTGATGAATGAAGACTGGGACCATCTTATCTGGAGTGATCATAGCATCAATTTGCAACACTGACAAGAAATTAGAGAAAAAAGCAAAAACAAATCCGACAGCACACACACACACACACACACACATGCACACACAACTTTAGCTTAGCTTTCTCATAGACAATAAATACCTTTGGAAAATTCCTAACTTATCTTGCAGGCATGTGCACGTAAAATGAAGATAGAGGCTGAAATTCCATTCCAGTCCAAAATAATGCGGCTGTAAAGGACAGTGGCGTCACATTAGAGGGTGATCAAAGTTAAAAGGAATTTCTGGAGACAATGCCTCCCTGGTGGATTGGCCTATCAGTCAGTCTGCAGAAACATTACCAAAACCTGACATAAACAGCAGATACCCAGCCTGCAGCGGGAATGTGGCACATTTACGGATCCTAGTTTTTTATTGACATAACCACAGACTGACCGGGGGGAGCTGTAATAGTGCCACGGCGGCCCCCACCCCAACACACAGCCGTGTGGAGCGTCATGATGGACTGCGTAAATGAGACTGTGGCGGAGCAGGACCTCACCAATCACCTCATTCATAAAGGCGCTATCTGACTCGTGCACTGAGAGACGAGAATTACTCCATGTACTAAACCATCTCATTGGGTTTTTCTCCAGGGTGAAAGATTGGGGTTACGGCATGTGGTGCACACAGAGTTTATGTTTGGGGAAAATATAATAAATGTACAAAATCCAGTCAAAATGTATATATTTATGTATTATTGCAGTTGAACAACAGTCAGTGCTCAATTGGTTACTTATGTTTTTATTCTTTTATTTTTACTTTTTTCAAAGATCTGCATCCTTTTTGTTAAAAATCCATTTTGTCACATCATGTCATTATAAAGCATGTGGGATATTATGTTGTCATGGTAGCGTCTGTATCCTTATATGAAAATATACTTACACCAAAAACGAACTATTGATTTGTCCTGCTTTGTAAATTTAGATTTGAATCCCTGGATTGAGCATTTTTAAGCCGTATATAAAGACTATGTTAATGTAATTATATTAATGTATATTAATGTGTTTGTCAACAGCTGTAACGTCTCTGTATCTCTTGTATTAACAGTTAATGAAGAATTAATACAAATAAATCCGACCCACACTTTGGCCACGTGCTTGTTTTCTTCTGGCCCAGTACACACCTGGTTCCACGGCCCGAATCTGGCCCATATACAACATGATTGTCAGATGCTACTTTCACATCTGGACCAATTCTGGCAAACACATAGAAAATCCTCTGGCTGTCAGTCAACACTGGAGGATAACAGCCAAGCTCTGTCCAGATGTGGAAGTATATGGGCCTGACTTGGGCCTTGGACCAAGGCAGAAATTGGGCCAGGAGTTTCATTTTGCTTTGTAATTATAGGCCTATTTAATGATATGGACAAATCTGACAGCTGATTTATGTGTTGCTTTCTCTAGCTCCTACCAGCACAGTGGAACTGAACACCTGCAGATTCATTTGGGGAAATCCAGGCATTTATAATAATAATAATTAAGTTTATTTATGCAGAACTTATCAAAATCAGAGATTACAAAGTGCTTCACAAGGATAAAATAACAAAACAAAAAACACACGCATGCAGACAAATGAACAATAAACAAAATTAAAAAAAAAAACAATAACAATAAAAACACAAATAAGAAATGTAAAAATATGTGAAGTATTTAAAAGACATTATTCAAAAGCTTGGTGAAAGAAATGTGTTTTAATTTCAGCATTTCCTTCACTGCAACACCCCACTCTTCCATTACTTAATATTATTCCCACTTTTAACTATAATAATAATAATGATGATTACTTTATTATATAGCACCTTTAAAAACAGTTTACAAGGTGCCTTGACAATCGAAGCAAAAGCAATAATATGATGGAAGCTCAGAAGGCAATATAACAGCAGAAAATTATTTTGATTTGATTGATTGATTGATTGATTGATTGATTGACTGACTGCCTCATGTGCAGGGATAGCAATCCCTGCACATGAGAGCTGGAGTGTTCCTCTCTATCGTCTGTAATCTCTTGAAGACTCATCACTTCTGAGAGCACCACCTCTCGTGACACCTCGAACACCCTAACATGCCTAACGAGCCCTTACTTTACACTTTCAGTGCTTCTTTACATGATCTTATTGCACTTATCAAATAGATGTAGTGCTTAGTACTTACGACAAGGTCTCCCACTGCACTGGAGCTTTAGTGATGTCTCTCACTTGTAAATCGCTTTGGATAAAATCGTCTGCCAAATGAGAAAATGTAGATGTAAAAATGACATTCTTTGCAGGTTTTGCATGTTCATTTCTTGAGAAAATGTGATACTGTTGTTTTACAGCATCCAAACTCTCAGCAAGGAAGATGCTCAACAAGCCTTCATCAAGTACGCATCAGAGAAATGCTGCTACAGCAAGAAGCCAGCAGAGGAGGGAGTGATCACCAACATGGAGGCCTTCGATACAAGACAGAGGTCCTGTTCAGACCTGGCATTAACATGCATCTTCAGTGACCCGATTACAAGTGGTCAGCTCTAAGTACATCAGTTCACACCTGGCTTTAAAATGCATCTCCGAGTGCGTCTCGAGTGACCGCTTGTGATTGGATGTCACTTCCCCGCTTTATATGCAAATGAACAGGTATGCGTTCACACCTGTACTTATAGAGCTGTCCACATGTGATGAGACAGATGTCAAAACCAGGTCTGGAAAGGGCCAGAGAGAAATGACAATAATGAAGACAGCGGTTTCTTTTCCAAATATCATCAAGTACATTCAAAACACAGATCTGGAGCTGCATGTTTTGTTTTGGATTTTGAAGGCAGCGTATTTATTAACAGGTGTATTTGCTGAACCATCATAAATGAACGGCTGCTGGTCATGAGATTAACTATGAGCTTTCATTGTGCTTTTCTTGCTAAGCACTTCATTTGTGATTTAATCAATAAAACCACAGCAAGTTAAAGTGTTGAGCAAAACACTTTCATAACGGCCTTGCAACAGGCATTATTGCACTGTCCGCTCTCAGTGACAGCTTGGGTTCAAAGGTCACAAAATCTGCCTACAGCACCTTTAAATTAATCATCACATTATAGCTCATGTTTAATTCATACACAAACCAAAGTGTATAGGAAAGAGTTTTATGGCGGGTTACGTGCTGGACTACTTCCTGGCCACGAGCAGTGACTTTCTGGTGGTGACCTTGAGGTTGCCAGGCAACCAGCAGAGACTCTCTGACAAACAAAATGAAAGTGTTAATTAGTGAGCGCTAGAAGTGCTGGGAGGTGGATTTTGTTAGCTGTGGACAGCACCAGCCTTTATGCTAAGCTAACCATCCGCTGACTCCATTTTTATATTTAGCATACAGACATGAGAGTGGTATCAAACCTCTCATCTTATTCTCGACAAGAACGTCAATAAGCATATTTCCAAAATGTCCAACTTTCGAACAGCTTTGTTTTTGTAAGGTGCTGTACAAAGAAACTTATCATGTTCCATATGTTTGCAAACATCTGCAGGCTTAACAACGTAGAAAAGCACACTGTTGAACAAGCCGGTGGGTTAGAGATGGTCAAACTGAGCAAAGGAGCTGTTTGCAGAAACTAACCACATGGTAAAGGCCAGCTCTAGAAAAGAACAAGTAATGCTCTGACAACTAAAGACAGTCAGGTCATGTGTGATGCAGGTTTATCCAGTGACAACCTTCCCTGACCGAGCAGTTGCACAGGCCTGAGAAAAGCTCCTCAGAGAGCACCAAGTATTTGTAAACGTCACGCATTTTACAGCAGGTATACGTTTTGTTTCCGTCTGTAATTCCTGTGTGGGATGAGTTCGTGTTGAGCAACTTTTCTTTCTCTCTCTCTCTCTCTCTCTCTCTCTCTCTCTATTCAGCGTCATACTATCGAGCTACTTCCTATCACTAAGGTGACCTACGAATGGCAGGGGGAGTCACATGTGTTCCTCGTGTATGGGACAGACTTCCAAGTCAGAGCTGAGGATTATCCTGCGGCCTTCTGCGGCTGCGGCTGCGGTGATGTGATGTCTACCTTGAATTGTGCAAATGTTTTCTATCTATGCATCTATAATCATTCAGATATTATGATTACAAATGACAATTATCTGAATTTCATTGATGCAATTAAATTGTTTTAACCTAGGGTGATAATAAATGAGCTGAATGACATTATTGCACTTTAATAACTGAAATATCAAAACATGAGTTTATGTCAAAGGTTATAAATGTGAGTGTGATGAAGTCCTAATTATGATTAGAATGAAGGGTTAAGATAAGGAGTCAAAGGACCTGTGCAGTGATAAATATTTTTCTTATTTAAGATGTTTGCATAAATATAAATGTCTCAAAAAGTCCTCTCTCTTTTCTTTGTCCTTCTTTTGATTCCACATTCAAAGGAAAAGAGCATCTGTTGAATTTATATTTAATATTCACTTTTAAATAGAATTCAAATGTAGAAAAAAGAGGGAAAGACCTCTCTAACGATTTTTTTTTTCAGAATTGAAACTCTTATTTTAAAAATGATTCCACTCGTTTCTCTTTCAGCATAAAAGGCCGCGTTATGGAAAGAGTTATACAATTATTTTCCACTGTGAATTTACTGTTTCATGATCAGAACGCGACAATACTGAGTAAATGTTTGCAGGCGATACTTAGTGCGAAGCTGTTTCACAATTCCGCATCAAGTGTTCTGCCATCACAGGAAGAGGACAAGCAGACTGACAGACTCCATGCAGGATGTTGAAAACTAACGGAAGGATTAATTAACGGACGCCCGACAAGAGACATTTACAGTGTCTGAGAGATGTCTTTTATTTATTTATTTTACATATTTTACATATTTTTAGAGTATCTGGTTTTTGAAATCGAAAATAAGCTCCGTTATATTCAATAGCTTGAAACTTTGAAACAGATATTCATTTCTAATTGTCTTAAACTTTCTAACCAATTTAATCCATATTTTACATTTTAAGATAAAAAAAAAATCTTTATCTCTCTTATTTGCACTTTTCATATTTGATATATATCTTTATTCAGTAACGCATAATAGCTCCCTCATATTTTATGTTACCTAAATTTTATTTCCACACATTAAATTCAGTTTCAATGTCTTTGCAAAAATAACAAATTCTTTATTCATGTACTTTTAGTAGTGAAATTTATGAATGAAAAATACTGGATATTTACTATATATTTACGGCCCTGATTATCAGCACAAAATTATGTCTTCAAATATTTTTCTTAATTAACTGTAGAATATGCTGTTTCTATTTTATTTTATTTTACTTACATTTGGTTTGATTTAGTGTCCATCACCCAAGCTATAATCCCTCATATCTTCACGGTGTTAAATGGTTCCCTCCGCCTCCTCTGAGCAGCCTGTGGCATGTGAAGTTATTGTTCTGTATATGGTTGGTCATTGGTCGTGTTTCTTATCGGACTGCAGCTTTTACAGAGAGCTCACTCACAGTTATCTCACCATAAAAAACCCACAACAAACTCTCTCTCCCCGCTACATTTTACTGCAGTGTTTGTTTTCATATAACACCTGATTCAGTTAAATGGACGTGTTTAACACCTTGATTTACATAAAACTGGTTCGGACCAGTTTGATTTTTAACATGTTCAATGAGCTTTTACCAAGCAGAGCAGGTGTGGCCTGTGACATCCGTCCTTTTAAACATGTGTTAAATAGTGTTTTTAAATTTAAACTGGATAATCTTCATAAAGTAAACAATAATATGAAAGTGTAAATTCATGCACTATTAAAATCTCCATATCATAACCTTAATATTACAGCCTATACACAGTCAGTTCTGTAGTCCGCGTTTATACATAAAAATGTAAACATTTCCATAAAAATGCGCCTCTTGTTTATCATCAACATCGTGCCTGGATTTAAATTCGTCCTATGGCTCTTTCTCTCTAATGAAACACAGGTTAAAGTCAACAAAAAGGGTGAATACAGGTGTTTCTTTTGCACCCCTCAATCCTCAGCTTCGGGTCCTCTCCTCCCCTCTCGGGCACCCAGGGGTCCCTCCCTCCCTCCCTGCCTACCGCCCTGCCTCCCTGCCTCCCTGCCTCCCTCCCTCTCTCCCCACCTAGGCCTACCTCGGAGCAGCGGACTGCGTCACGTGTTTTTCTCCCGTACAAATTTTCCTGTAGGGGAGCGAATAGGAGCACACCCATATCTGCAATTATCAGCGACAGTAACTATCTCCAGATATACGGACAGGAAGAGGAACGCTGCAGTCGTCCTGAAGCAGAAAAACAACTTTGGTTTCATTTATCTCCGAGCAGTGTGCGCAACTTTTACGCATTAAAGCAAACAGATATTTGGAGAGGCTCCGCGGTGCTCCCTGGTCCGTCTCTGTCTGTGTGGAGTGCGCTGCTTTGGACGTCTAAAGGACCGGACTGCTTTATCACCCGACCGTCCTTATCTGGTGAGATAATAACACTGAGAGCCCTTGGAAAGAAACGTTGTTCCTCCTATGCAGCGAGGGCTATTATCAAGCTTTTATGTGATTTCAGTTACTATTGATAGAAAATACATGCACGGTAGATATGGAGGGGGACTCGCTATCTGTTGTGTTGTTTGATTTGGTTTCCGTTATGGTTATGATTTAATGAGGCGGCGCGCGGAGCCTCAGGATATCTGGGGTCGCTGATAGTCGCCTCTATCTGCGCGAACAGATATCAGCGATCGTTAATGTCATTTTAATCAATTTCATGTCAGTCAGAATGATGCAGGTGAAATATGACGGATGATGCTCAACTTGCTCTGAGGTCTACTATCGTGCGTGAATGAGCAGCATAGATTTAACACATACAGTTATTGTGTGTATTGAATAAAACTTATGATTCTCAAAATGACTCTAAATTGTAAATATTCAAAGAACCTCGGTCTTTTTTTTCTGCTCTTATATTTATTACAATTATCTCAATTTATTTTTTGCACAGGACAGGAATCTCCACGAGTTTCTATTAGGTCCTCTGTTCAAAAAGGCTCAGGAAAATTCCTCACGAAAGGCTGGAAGAATCTTAACGCGTGGACATCATCACCTCCACAGGACAAAGACAAGTCTAAAAAATCCTCCAGATATTTTTCCATATTCCTAACAGGACATCAAATCAGTGAAAATGTACCAAAGCCTGGCCTTGTCCTCCAACCAGTCCCCTTACGCGCACGATACCGGGAATTACATCCATCCCTCGGCCAGCTCTCCGGTCTACGTCCCCACCACCAGAGTCCCAGCCATGCTGCCCACCCTGTCCTACCTGCAGACCTGCGACTCTCCCCACCAGTCCCACGGCCTCGGCGGGCACCACGGCTGGCCGCAGACAGGAACAGACGGCTCCTCCTTCACGCCCAGCAGCCCTCACCCGCACCACGGCTTCTCCTACTCGCACAGCCCGCCTGTCAGCACCAACACCGGCCGTGACGCGACCTATCAGAGCCCCCTGGTTCTCGGTAACGGCGCCCGGGCCGATCAGTACGGAGGCGCCTTGGTGCGCTCGGTCGGAGGCTCCTATTCCAGCCCCTACGCTTACGTGAGCCCGGAGATGGCGACGTCCTCCTGGACGCCAGGACCCTTCGAGAGCGGGGTGATCAGTCTGCAGGGCCGGCAGGGCGGTCTCTCTGGAAGACGGTCCAGTCTGGGTGAGAATAGTCCTCCAAACTAATATTTCTACTTCCATAAAGTGAACTTAAAATCACGAAGCGAAATCCTCAAGTGTATCATAGTCATTTGGAAAACAAGAAAAAAAAAATGAACTGAAATATTATTTATTAATATTATTATTAATTAAATGTAGCTATTAAAAGCATCACCAGCAGCTGGTTTGCTCAGGAATATTTCATATTTAAATCTGTTTTAAAATCAAACAATTGTCATTGTTATCTGTGCTCTCATATTAAGGATTTACAACTATTCCACATACTGATAATGATTTTTCTTTGTCCATATTTTACCACTTGACAAATATTCATTAATATTTAAATTAAATTCAGATTTTGGGGGATTATATGTCTGAATATGACCGTGTTTTTGTTGTGAAAACAACTCTGTAATAATATCCTGCTCAGCAGCTCAGTGGTCGGTTCGTTAAGATGTCGCTTGTCAGGACTAAAGGCCAGGTTATATGACGCTGCGGTTGTTATTTATTAAAGGAGCTGATAGAGAGGCCTCTAACTCTGACGGCTGTGGAGGACGAGAGTCCATCAAAGTCTCCCAACGATCCCACATTAGATTTAGACAATACACATCCCTGGCTAAAAAAAGAAAAAGAAACAATCAATTACAAAATGTTAATTTAATCCCCCAGCAACAGTCCAGTGCTGTGATGACAGGGTCCAATCCACACAGAGCCATCGACAAGACAATCAGCGCAGTTATCACCTCGATCAGACGGTCAGGGCCTGACGCGGCTCAGGACCTGCAGCCTCAGTGTTTACAGCGTTTGAAGTAGATGATGAGAAGTGAGTGAAGACAGAAGAAGGTTTTATGAAGAGACCTTGTGTTTGATGATCTGGTCTTTGGACTGTTTCACACCTCTCAGTCCGGACACATTAATTGAATCTCTTTTATTTTTCCTTTAGCCTTTTGTTGATTTAATTAAAGAGGGATTTCACACAAAAAATATGTAGGTGTTTTATTATAATAGCTTTATTATAGCCTGTATTTTGTTCATTTTAAATGGCATGGTATGACTTTATGACCCTTTCACATGAGGCATCGTTTATGTTTATTTCGTTATGATATTTCCTCTCATAAAGAATAGAGGTGTGTGGTAGTATGACAGTGATTATACAACGTTTCTATAAGATTTGATATGAACTTTGGCGGCTCCTGATAAATATCCAGCTCAGCTTTTAACCTCGTGTAACCCGTTTTCTTCTTCTAGGAAAAATTAGAGCCAGAGTCACAAGTTGAAAGACAGCAAAGTAGCTTCAGCCTCATCTTGACCGGGTCTCACCTCCCCCTCGGTCTCTCTCTCTCTCTCTCTCTCTCTCCCCCTCGGTCTCTCTCTCTCTCTCCCTCTAAACTGAGGGATTAGGAATTTGGGCAATTAATGGCAGGAGTCCGTCGTGTGTCAGAGCTGTGACATGGATGTGGGGGGGGGGGGGTTATCTCAGGCTGTATAACGCCCCCTCCCCCTCTCTCCAAACAGATTCCTCCATTCTGTCCTCTCCCTATTGATTCATTCGCGTTTGATCTCTCTTCATCACACTGAAATTCCTCCGCTGGCTATTTATCACGCATTGGCCCGTAACCAGACCCCCCCCTCCCCCCCCCCCCCTCCACTCCCACGCCCCGGTCAGTTGTAAAAGTTCAGAAAAGAATAAGCTATCGTAAACAGGGATGTTGTTGATTCCAGATTATGATTTCACATCCAGCTGCTTTCTCTCTCTCCGAGGACACAATCGGGAGAAAAGAGAATGAAATAGTATTATAAGGAATAAGTTATTGTAGGAGATACCTGAACGTCTGGACGGGGTTGTAATGATACTTTAAAACGGCTGTGGAATATAACTGAGCGCCAGATGAATACTTCATATTCTCCCAAAACACACAAGAAATAAATCAGGTATTGCTGTTTCACATCGAGCTCTCTGTGGGAGTTTTACGCACTTAATTAAAATGTTCTTTATACAAAGTTTATTTAATCCAGTACATGTGTCTTTCTGTGTTCAGACCTGATGGACGACATGCCCACTGAGGGCAGAGAGTGCGTCAACTGCGGCTCCGTGTCCACGCCGCTGTGGCGCAGGGACGGCACCGGACACTACCTGTGCAACGCCTGCGGCCTCTACCACAAGATGAACGGCATCAACCGGCCGCTCATCAAACCACAGAAACGACTGGTAAGACAGGAGGAGGGAATAAATACCTGTGCATTTACTCAATTTTAAAGTAGGCCTACTTGTACTTTACTTTATTTACTTTATCTATATAAAATGTTATTTTAAATTTCCTAATAATTCTTTAGTCACTTTTATTTAAACAACATTTTGAATGCTTGACTTTTACTTGTAATTATTTTTACACTGTGATGATGTACTTTTACTTGAGTAAAGGCGATACCACAACATTTTAGAATTGTACTTATTAGATTGATAATATTTTTAGGAGTGATATAAATATCGAAATGCATCCAAGTAAATTGTTTTAAAAAATGAATTACTGTTGGTCTGATAAAAATGTATCTAAATACCCACCTTTAATATCAATATAGGATATACACAGTTGGCAAATATAAAAAAGACAAGGATCTGATTTAATGTGGAGGTGAAAGTAAAATTGGAGGAAAGTAACTACATTTACTCAGGTCTAATTTTGACTTACTTTAGATGGGTATTTCTATTTCGCTTTTTGTTCT